TCCCCATGTCCTGCACTGCATCCCATCAGGAGCCCTGGACAGAGAGGTCTGTTACTAATATCACCTTTCTGTAAACAGCACTGGAGACGGGAGGAGTAAAAATAGTGACTGACACTTAGTACAACACTGCAACCGTTGACGGGCAACCTGGGTGCCTGCCAGGTGCCCCAGACAGGACAGTGTCTCCACCTACCTCCAGCTAAGGACCTTCCACCAAGGTGCCTGTCCACAGCGACCAAGTATTTTGATGCCGGATGCCAGGAGCTGTGCTTTGTTCTCGGCGACAGACGGGTGAATCCAGCATAACTCAGCGCAAGTCAGGGCCTTGCTGGCGTCTGTAAAGTTAGCTCTTCCCTGTCCTAGCAGGATGACTAATGCAGCAATGATGCAAGTATGATTTGCACCCTATAATTGACAGGCAGCGCAACTCTCCCACAGGCGGCAAAGTTACTCAGGATCTACATTTTTGCAACAGAGCTGAATTTGGCCAGCTGACAAAGCCACATTCAGAAATAAGTGGAGCAGGTAGGGCCGACTGGACCGAAACATGGAAGCGCTGGCCCACCCAGAACCACGGCTGTTTGAAACATCCCTATTCAGGTTTTTCCCTCTTTGCTGTTCATTCTCACAGCAGGCCCAGGCAGCCTAGGTGGGAAGAGTCACATCACATGCAAAGCACTCCCTTTGGGCCGATTCACCTCAAACAGAAATCATGTAGGTTTTCAAGCCCAGATCTTCAGGATCCAAGACACCAGCTTTCTGGAGAAGTCCTGGGCAGACAGCTGAATTTCTGGGTGCTTATCCAAATGATTCAGAGCACAGAGACACAGTCTGACCATCCCACCTTCATGCTCCAGCCTATCTAAGAGCATCTTTTGCCGCTCCGTGCTATCCCACCCTTTTGTTCCCCCACTGACTCCAGTTCCATAGTTATCCCAAAGGCTTATGAATGCCCAAGGACCAAAAATAATGGTTCAGGTTGTCCTGATTAGAAAGTTGCATTTTTACATATCTGGAAGGAATAAAAGAGGATGAAATTCGGATGCTTTGGACCTGTCGGAAACGGGTAAATCTAACCCAAACAAGCCACACAAAGCAAATTAAAGGTACCCGGAAAAAAAAAAAAAAAAAAGAGATTTAAGAGCACATTGTCAATTAAAGCTGGTGAAAAACGATGCGCAGGCCAATCTGCTCACTGCTCCATACCACAAATCCTTCATAAAGCTTGTTATTAAGTTACTCCAAAAGGAATAGCTTAATAATAGTTGCTTAATAAGAAAGGTGGGTTTTGTCCATGCTCATTACTAAACACTTTGTTTGGCAGTACTGGGAACACGCTCGCTGCAACCACCGTCCAACTGGGAGAAATAACACTTTTAGCCACAGTTGAGGTTAAGGACAATAGCTTTTAATCGCTGCATCTCAGCCCAGCGGATCTTTTCAGAGCTTTGAATTCAGTTCAGAAGCAGATGGGGGGGGGGGTTGTCTGCCGAGCCGGCCCTCCAGCTCAATTAGCGAACGAATTCCCTTCAGCTAAATCAATCACAGTCCGCTTGCAAGATGGATGCTGAGCCGCTGACGACGCTAGCAAGTCTCCATCCTCCAGTCCCCTGTCTTTCCAATTCTGCTCAGGCATGCCAAGAAGGAAAAGACCCATTTCATCATGGTGCCCTTGCTCCCTCTACCCCAAGCGGGGCAAATACAGTCCACTGAAAGAGGGCCTTTCTTCATGGGCTCCATCTCATGAAGCCACAATGCTCTGCTCAGTGGAGATGCACTGGGATGAGGCAATTAGTCAAGGTAACTGCAGAGCGACTGTGGCAGACAACATGGCTCTAAAAGGCAGACAGGTCTCTCCCACCTTGTCCTCACACAGAAACTGGTTTGCAGAGCACCGAACAGGGATGCCCAGGATGCTCAAAGCCTCCACTACAGACACTCTTGCCACTTGCGTGTTCAGAGACTTGATCCAAAGCCTGTTTAAGGCAGGAAATCTGACTTCAAGAAGCTTTGGATCAGGCCTCCCTGGGGTGGGATGTAAGGCTTGGAGCCTGACCTGTAAAACATGCAGGAGAGTGGGAAATAGGAACCAGGTACCAGCTCCTTACATTCCCCTTTGCATGCTGCATGCTTAATACAACATGGCCAATTCCAAAATCATCTGCCATAGAAGAATCCTATCATTCCTCTACCTCCTGAAATGATGCCCACAGCACATTTCATCTGCACACAGAGCAGGGGAATGGTTATTTAAAACGTTTGCAATTGCACGTACTCATGACGTACATGGACACTGCACTTAGAAGCTTTTTGGGACCAGACACCCTGTTTTGGCTGTATTTATACAGCCTCTAGTACAATGGCTCCAGCTCATGGCTGTCAATTCAGAATTTAAATTCAGCTCCTGGCCAGAAAACCTGGTGCCCTCCTTATCTCTGCTAGGCAGGAACACTTGGTAGCAGTCACTTGGCAGCAGGTCTGGCATGGATTCAGCACACCACACAAGTCTGGGAGGGCCGTGCATCTCCAGAACTGGTTACCCACTAGTGTTGACATGGGGCTGCAGGGTGTTCACCCCTTTCCAGGTAGAAATCAAATCTCTGATGGAAATTAAAGGCTATTGGGGTGGTGAGAAAAAACCACAGCTAAGGGGAAAAGTAAAAAAAAAAAAAAAAAAAAAAAGGCTCTTATCTTTCAGAGCTATGTAGTGCACTGAGTCGCATGAATTAAACTACCAGTGACTATATTGGGACAGGAGTACTGCAGAGGCACCTATTATCTGATACAGCATTTTATTTCTGCCCCAATCCACAGGACATTAATGGGATTTCCAATGTAGTATGAAGCATGCTTCACCTCTGGCTCACAGACTATCCAATAGGCTCTGCAGGGACCACCGGTTTTAACGAGCAGGCAATTTGAGCTGGCTCAGGGTCCCAGGACAAGGGAAGCAATGTGTCCACCACACTCAGAGGGGAGGAATAATGCAGCCCGCGCAGCCCTCCCTCCCCGGAGTGGTGCTGCGGGAATATAAACTTGATGAGCAAAGACACATTGATGTGATGGTAGTTAAAGGTCACGTCAGGGGGCCTGAGGCTGCTTGTTATAGCTAAATGCTTCCTAGCAGGCATTCCCATAGCCAGAGCTTTAAGCAGCACGGGCTACATTTGCTGCAATTCAATTACAGGCTACAAGGGATGGGATTAGATCCTGCTCTCCCTAACAAGTGCTGACATCTGTGCTTGTAACCTGGCCCTTTCAACACCCCCATCTGCCCAGGGAGCAGCAGCTCCTTCCAGTGTCCCGGACACACCACATCTGCTCAGCCTGTTTCAACCACCTACCCACGGGGCCAGGACCTGCCTGACTTGTTCCCTAGCGAACTGCTCACACCTCTCTCCATGTATCACCGAGCTCTGCCGGCCTTGTTCCACCCCGGCGGGTGGCCTCATCTGGTCTTTCCTGTTCCACACTTTCACCTAATAAACGCCTGTCTGAAAGCATTCAGCTGGCCCGCAGGAAGAAGGACTTTTGAGCCCTGCCGCCAGACTGCGTTGACAAGTGATGCTATCATCAATCATTCACCGATAATGACTTGGACTCCTCTCTCAGCCTTGACCGTACAAGGCCCATTTTCACTTTCTCACGAGTACACGACAGGTAGAATCCATCTGCTCCTCAGCTATTTCCCCCTTGCACATTGACCCAGCCTGCTCCTTCTCTTGTTGGGGGTTGAAAAAAGGCCTTCTGTCCTTTGGTGACTCCCCAGCTGAAGATCACTTAGGAGTATGGCAGAAAACCCATCACTCGAGTCATTTAAACCTGGGGTGACTAACGCGGAGAACAAGTTAAACCACCGACTAACGCAGAGAACAAGTTAAACCACCGACTAACGCAGAAAATTTCATATACAGCAGGGGAAGGAAGGCCGTATTTGGCCACTAGGTAAAACAGGCCTTTTCATCACTAGATCCCAGCAGTCTTTCCTGTCCACTAGCACAAGAGGCTGGACCTGATGATCTTGTAAGGTCCCTTCCAGCCCCTAATATCTATGAAACGATGACATTTTTAAGTAACAGCAAGGTCATTAGGGCTCGTTCCCTTTCCTGACACTGCTTAGAGTCGTGTTTCTTTACGCTAAGGTTGCAGCATTTTTCCTCCGGAGGGAATTCAGTTCTAGCTCTGGACATGAGGATCCCGTTTGTAGGCTGTAAGCAGCAGCGACACAATGCTCTTCAAAAAGCACAGAGCAAACCTGCACCGAATCTCAGCTACATCCCAAAACACTTCACTGAGTGCAATCCTATTCCAGAGAAAAATGGTAGCAGATGGCAAGAGAAATTAAAGCAGCAAAGGAGACGAGATGTGTTTTCAAATAACATTTGATTTGACACATCAAACAGAGCATGGAGCCGAGAGGCTCTTCCAGAACTGCAGAAAGACAGAAATCATACACCAGCAGCAGCCAGATCCTGCGGCGCGGGCCCCACGGCTGGACTAAGGGAAGGCCAGAGTCTGAGAGAAGTGCCAGGAAAGGAGGCAGCGCAAGTTCCTCCCAAAGTTGTTCCATCAACATGCTGCCTGCCTGCCCTGAAGGGACCACCGGTGGGACACCAGTCTAGCACCACCGACTATTTTTTGCCATTTGTACAGCGCCTGACACTTTACAAACATCGCTTTCTTATGTAGGTTAGATAAAAATATCAGGCAACAGAGACACAGGCTGGCGGGTGAGAATGTGAGATGGGAAACAGAGGGAGACGGACACAGCACAGTGTTATAAACCACTTTTTTTTTTCCTGCATCCGTCTCATCCTATAAAGAGAGAAACACGTTTGGGAGGAGAAGGTCGAGGATGGAGGGAGGCTGAAAGGTGCAATGAGGTGAGTTGTCCCAAGCACCAGGTCACAAGAGGGTAAGATAAACAGGAGGAGACAAAGGTTGTTTGTGCGGCGAGGAAAAATTGGCAGCGGTGTCTACATCTGGAAATGTGTCCGTACCAGACAGGTGACTCCTCGGAGAGGATCAGGTGAGCAGCTCTCCTGAGCACAGCGTTTGTTTTGTTTGGGAATTAAAAAAAACAGCATTAATGGGGCCAAGAATATATTTAAAAAAAAAAAAAAAAGACTAACTTCTGAAGGACCAAGAGGCCCCTGGGAACACAAGGCAATAGGGCAGAGACGGTCCTAACTGGACAGAAAGCTCTTTTCCTCCACTCCATCAGTCAGTTCAAATCAGGCATTCAGACACCACTGCAGGCTTTAAAACAGCATTTCTGCAGCTCATTATTTCCTCAGGAAGATCTGACGCCCAGAGAACCGTACGCACAGTTTAAAAGGGGCATGAAGTTAAACTAGGTGGGGGGGGAAGCCACGCTATTCGCATCCGAGGTGTGCGCAGCTTTTGGTTTTACCCTCAACATCCACAAAAGCATTCCTCAGCAGCACCCGGACCGCGCCGCCCGCCCCCTTTCCTGCACCGGGTTATTCTCCGCGCGAGGGGCGCTCAGCAGCTTTCTGCCCGTCAGCACGTGCTGCTTTCTTGGAGCCACTCTGCTCCAGGGCTCCCACAAAGTGACAAGAGCGTACGGACGGGCGCTGAGCGGGGCGGACCACAGGTCCATCTCGCCCTGTGGTCTGTGTCACGCAGGGGCAGAGCGCGGGGGCCTTTCCCCCTCTTCCGCTCCCCCTGCAGCCTGGGCCATGCCAGACCGGGGAAGCCCCGATTCAGAGTCTGCCTCCCGCGCTCCCCAGCTCCCAACAGCTCCATGCCTGCGAAGGGCCAGGCTTTGCGGTGCTTCGGGGCATCAGGAGCTGTGAGCGTGGGAGCAGCCTCCACCATCCCCTGGCACAGGGAGAAGGGGCCGCTCCCCTGATCATGCACTTGACCAGGGTGCAAATGGGCAGGCAGGGGCAGGGGCACATCTTCGCCACGCGGGCAAAGCCCGGACCCCAGGGGCTGGGACGCAAGGACCTGGACGATGCAGCCGAGTCAAGGGAGGACAAAGCGCGGCAGGGCAGGGGCGGAAGCAGCCCCCAGCCCCATGCGGTGCCCAGCCCAGTGCAGCTCCCAGTCCTGCACACTGCCCAGCCCAGTGCAACCCAGCAGCCCCCAGCCCAGCCCAGTACAGCTCCCAGTCCAGTCCCCAGCCCAGTGCAACCCAGCAGCCCCCAGTCCAGTCCAGTCCAGCCCAGTGCAGTGCAACGCAACAGCCCCCAACCCAGCCCAGCCCTCCCAGTGCAGCCCAGCAGCCCCCAGCCCAGCGCAGTTGCACTCACGCGCCGCTCCTCCGCCGCCGCCCGCACCCCGGGCTCAGAACGTCCCAGCAGCCGGGAGAGAGGGAGGAGGGGAGGGGGCGGGGACTCCCCCATCCGCCCGCAGCCAATCAGCAGGGGCGGCTGCGTGATGGACAGCCGCGAGAAGGCGCAGGCCCGGCTGTGCGGAGGAAGGGGCGGGGCGTCCCCGGCAGCGCAGCCAATCGGAAAGGCGGGGAGGGTGGCAGGGCTGGGCCGCGCCGGCTTAAAGGCGCAGAGGCCTCTAAAATACGGCTTGCCACCCCTCCTCACTCCTCATCCTCCCTCCACACCCACACAGCACTGCCTAAGCAGCCCCCCTGGCTGCCCCTGACCCCCTTAGCAGGGCAGGATGTTGCATCGCGTCACATTGCCCGCCCCCCACGCGCCAGCATCTCTGCTACACTAGGGCACGGCCATGCCCGTGCTGGTGACAAAGCTGGCAATGGGCGAGGCAGGTCGTGGCGCTGCACGAGCGAATTGCGCGGTCTGTGGGACGGGGGACGACGGTCTTGGCCACCGCCAAGGAGTGCGGAGGGGGCAAAGGGACCCGCGGCCTGTAATGGGGCCCGTCTCGCCAGCACGGTGCCAGCCTGGTGCCCACCCGGGCAGCCACGGGGCTGTCTCTGCTCCGTCCCCCCCGCACGTCTCCGGGCAGAGTCTCGCTCGGTGGCTCCTCGGCTGCGCTCGGTGCCCCCGCTTCGATCCCAGCCCACGACCCTCGCGCCCGCCCCCGTCTTCTCGTCTGTCGCCCCAAGAGCTCGGCTGTTAACACTCCCAGCGGCCTCCCTGGCGGACGGAGGCTTCTTGTTTGCTTGTGGGGCCTGGTGTCTACGTCGCCAACGCCAAATCTATTCCAGGAGGTTTCCAGGATGCCCCCGTGCCCGCGACGTGCAACGCGAACGTGCCCGCCGGCTTGCGTACATCCGTTACGGATTACGGCGCGTAGACTTGACGCCAGGAAGGCTAAAGCACGTTACGATGACGTTTTAAAAGCGCACTGGGCTACAGTATAGATCAAATTCAACATTTAATATCCCTACCGGCTTTGTCATCTTTTTTTTTGGATTTACCATCCTTACCATCTACTAATAAAAGTCAATTTGTTCGAATGAAAGCCCTGTCCTTGATCTCCCGGGTGACTCTCAGCGGTCTCCTCGGGAGTTGTATCTAATTCCCGGAGGCTCCAGGGCGATCCTGGAGGGTTGGCGACCCTACTGGCATAACAGCTAGGCCAGCTGGGCACAGCAAACGCACGGCACAGATTCACATCGATGAAACCCTCAGCAAAAGTCAGCGCTGGTTTCTTAGCTGGGCAGCATCTGTGCTGAGATCTCTCGGCTGCTTAGTGTACAAGTCCTGTAATTTTAAACAAAGCGTGAAACGTCTGCTTTAAGAACATATCCTGCGCTCCGATACGGCGCTCAGCAGGCCTAGGCTGTGCCAAGGGCTACAGGGTGACTTTGATCAACTCACTTCATCAATTTGTGTACATTTTGAGGGGAGAGCAACATCCCCTCTTCTCAAAAGTGCTTGGGGGTCTGTGGAGGAAAGCAGCTGGACTGGGTAAGAGCTAGGTATTAAGTTATTAATAGTTGTAGTAGGTGCGAGAGACAAGGATTTCTGGAGGTGATGTATTTTATTGGAACAACGGCACGGTTAGAGACAGGGAGATTATAGTAAGACATATAACACATGTAGGAGAGTACTTCTCACACTTTTTGACCTCACTATCCTTGTACTCCAGGGAAATACAAAAACGCCTTTAAAGAATGAGCCTGGGAACAAAAAATCATACATTGGCTAGACTCTCTGGACCAAGGACTGCACACCGCTATTGGCTTCATAGCATACTGCAATCTACCTGACTCCTGCTAATCTTTCTTCACAAGTGATAACCACCCTCTTCCCTTTTGAAAGGTCTTGATCTCTCAGGAATCAAGCTATCTTTTCTTCTGTGATTTGCTTGTCTGCTCCCCCAGGGAATTTCTCTCTCCTCTGATTTCACAGCCCTACAGACAGCTGCAATCTTTACTGTGCCAGCTTTTTCCTCAGACCTGAAGAAGAATGCACTGCATTTGCAAACGTTGTCTAAGTCTACCCCAACCGTGCAGTTGGTCCTATATGAATTATCACCCACAAAATCCTTGCCTCTCACATAGGTTCGGGACCATCACAGCTATAACCTCACTTCAACGCTATTGATTGTAGTAGATGTGATTTTTGGCCTAGAATCTTCAAACAATGAAGACTGTAATTTGCCTAAAAATCCGGAATATTTCCTTTGGGAAAAAAATCTATATGCTCAGGCTGATTCTATTCAAACCGCATCTCATCTCAAAGAATGGACTCAGGGAGGGGTCTTTCTACCTTCCCAGATTGCCTCCTTCGCTTATGCCCTTTTGCTTACGCTGTGACTCAGTAAGCAGCTCACACCAAGGTTCCAAATTGAAGTGCAAAATTAGGAGCCTTATTGACCACATGCAGTTGGCCAAATGGAAATATCCTGTCTAGGCCTTATGCAAATCAAAACAAAAGCTAGGAGAAGTTGGGATGTGTTTTTATATAGAGCAGGAGAGTAATTCATTTGAAACACCGTGCATTATACAAAGCTTTTGATCAACACTGCACCATTTTCCCTCATAATTCCTATTGAAATGAGGTGTTGCAGCATCTTCTACATACATTAGGGCTGGGTTATTTAAAAGCAGTCCTCAAACCATTCTTTCCAATCCAGAAAAAAAAAAATCTATATGACTTCTTTCTGCCTTTGTTTCTCCCTCTGCTTGTTCCTTTGTATTATAGACTCCCAGGAAGCGCTGCTTGTGGGGCCAGTTCTACAGAGCACGAGGAGGGCAGGAGACCAAAATTGGCTGATACGGGGTTTATTGAGCAGAAATCTACATGGCAAAATATGGGTCCTCGTTCTCCAGTTCAGAGCCAGGTATAGCTAGGGTTGGCTGGGCCGGAACGCAGTCATTAGCAACCATGGTGTGTCTGAGAGTTGAGGATGTTAAAAACATGTTAAACTCTTTTGCTTCTTGGATCTGAGTGGACTATACCAGACAAGTGGAGATTAATCCTTTGAATGATGCAATCCCAAGTCTGCTGCCTCTGTGCTCCAGTGGTTGCAATACCCTGGTACTTTATTTAATAAGCTGCTGAAGACAGCAGGCAGGATTTGTGAGAAAGGCGGCTGCTGTGGTCCCCAGAAAGCATCTGTTAAACAATGGCAATGTTTAAAGACAAAATTGATTTTTTTCCCCCTTTACCGTTGATTCCTATCCAGCTGCTCCACACAATAAAAGACCCATCAAGGAGCGTAATGCCGTAATTGTTAATGGAGAGAGCAGTTTCAAACTGCTTCCACTCAGGCAAAGTCCTTATCTCAGTAAGCTGTGCAGAACTCAGCCTGTCTTTCATCCCTTTGTACTTGAGAGGGGGAAGGGGAGAAGGCCCCCTGCCACTCACAGGGGCCCACGGAGGGGAAGAAGCTTCATCACTCACAAGGAATTGCCCCTCTTCAGTTTTGCTCCAAGCAGCATTTTCTTTTTCTTTTTCGCAAATTTGATGCTTGAAAGATGCTTCCATTCCTCATCAAACACAGGATGTCTCATGCTAAGCTTATTCACGCCAGCTTTGTCCCAGTGTCATTTTTTGATCTCCATAGGGTCAGCAGTGGAATCAAGGGCAGAATCAGATCCCTGGAGAGGAATTCCAGCAGAGCTGCCTTGTCACGTCCCACTCACCCGCTGACCTGGAGGGCCAGTCGTGTTTTATGGCAGGTGATCATCAGCGTTGTCATCATGCTGAAGGGCAGGTGAGTGCATTTTCTGCCTGAGCTGACCAGTGCTCTTGTAACAGTTTAGCTGTAACTTGCATTGTCCTTCCCTTAGTGCTGCTGCCAGTCATCTTTGTTCATCCCTTCACTTCTGACAGAGAGCCCACTGGAGCATGGCATATTTCCTGCTTGGTCCATTAGGAAGCAATTAAAACAAGTTTGGATGCTAAAAATAATCATAATGAGGCCAAAATACAGGGCCCTCAGAGGCTGGGGTTAGGGTAATGGCTCCTACTTGTACCTTAAAGCATCCTAGTTGTACACAGTCACATAGCGTGGTCATAAGCTAACGGACTAGAAGCCCTGAAACTATGGTAGATGTCTTATTGCAACAGGGCAGAACTTCACTGAGAGTGCCATAACAATGTGGAGAGCATGAGTACAGCATGCAGCAGGCCTAGATAGCATGGCGATGGGCACATGGGAAGTATGCAGACTGGTATTTTTTTTAAGGATTTTTTTGTGTCCCAAGTCAAATCAGCCAAATCAATTCCAAATCCATGTGAGTCATTCAAAAACCATACATGGCCCTGCTACTGGCAAGCATCCTCCACTCCTGGCTGGGGCTTCAGATACTTCCAAATCCTTTGGCAGGCATCCTATGTGCAGGCCCAAGTCCGGAGGCTTGGGGTTCGGCTGCCTCCAGGTTTCACTTGCCCTCAGCCGTATGGCCACAGGAGCAAGCTAGGGAGGAGTATCCCATTGCCATAAAGTCAGCATCTAGCCAAGATCTTTGCATTGGAAGTGAAAGTGGGAGTCTAACTATGACTTACCTCGGTGGAAGCAGTGTGGGACTGAATCGCAACAAAAGAGATAAGGGGAAGAGGAAGGAAGCAGGTGGCAAATGATCAACCTCTTTCCCTGTAAAAGGAGATAAGGATTGAAGCTAAGAAGCTCTCCTACCCTTAGGGAGAAGACCTGACCCATCTGTTGATGGCATCAAACATACCAGGGATTTACATCCCCAATTATACAACAGTTCAAAATGTCCTTGCAGCTCCAGGATTCTCCAGGATTAT